AAATTCTTACGGACAAACTGGATAATAACAAAAGGGTGAAAAGAACCCCAACTAAACTATAACTTTTCATTCTTTACATGTTTTAAAGGTTTATGCTATAAGTATCTTTTTCATTGACATTGAGTGTCACATCATTGGTATACATTATTATATTCACATATAAAGAGGATACACAACAACAACATTGCGGGTACCTATAAAAATTACAGTTTTAAATCCTATAAATATGGACAAAAAACTGTTTAACATATTGAAACTCGTAATAAGTTTTTTGAAACCATAGTTATCCATAAACACTTTTTATATACATATAAATTCGTCCTTGCAAAAGGAATGGCCCCATACTTGGTTAGGGACTACTGGCTTGTAAGTTATAACCTGATTTTATTCAAAGTTTGTATTGAATTCGATGGAGTTTTTTTTTTTTTTTTTTTTTTTTTTTTGGGTAAATTACACCAATCGTCCCTCGTGCACATGCCAAAAAGCGTGTTTAGTCCCTATTTTCAAAAATTAACTCGGACCGTCCCTGATTTGTTTTTTTCTTGCATGCGTAGTCCCTATTGACATGAAATGATTATTTTACCCTTAATAATTTCTTTTTTCATTTCTTTTATTTATTTATCAGTTTTAAATTAAAAAAACAAAATAATCTCTCAAGAAATCAAATCCATTACTCCACGACTCCAAATCCTCTTCAAGACCATACACCAAGAAATCGATACATCCACAACCAAAATAATCTCTCAAAAAATTGATACATCATCAGCGATCATTCGTATCTCAAACCAACCAAAAATTTCCACCGGTGAATCGTAGGAGCCAGTTTCCATCCCTGTAATATGTGATTTTATAAATGTCACATAAATTGTCTGATCTAGACTCTCCAATCACCATCCATGGTCTAAACTCGCCGATTGCTAAAGAACGACGACCACCACCAACGTATGATTTAGATGTCGACTTCAATTTCTGGAACTATCCCACTCTTTCCTCCATACAGATCCGACGAGACCCCAAACCTACAAATCGGAAAAATCAAACCTCAAAGATCAAACCCTAAACCTACAAATCAAAACTAACTAAACCCTAAACCTGCAAATTGGAACTAACGAGTTGCAGGAGAAGAAATAGGATTTCGATCGACAGAATCATATCGACGAACGTGATGTCCACCGCCACCAAATCGAGGAGGATTCCATCCACCACCGCTTCATCTTCCTCATAGATGGTGTAAGTCGACGATGGCTAATTTACCTCGTGATGTAGATTATAGCTTCATTGAGGATTCAGTTTGTAGTCTGATGGCTTCTTCAAGTCAGAGTGAAGTGATTCGAGGTTCTTCAAGTCAATGTGATGGCTTCTTGTGTGTGTGTTTGTTTCGTATTGAAGAAGAATGGAGAGAGAGAGAGAGAGAGGGGGGGGGGGAGAGAGAGACATTGGAGGTGGTGGTGGTATTTTCAATTTTTCATACGTGTGAGAGAGATAGATATTAGAGAGTTGTTTTTTTAATTGTTATCAATAATAAATAATATTAAAATTAATTAAAAATAAATATCCAAGGGCATAATGGTCATTTTAAATGTGGAGTGGACTAAATTCGCAACAAAAACACATATCAGGGACGAAGTTAGCAAGTTTTAAGCAAACGAGGGACGGTCAGAGTTAATTTTTGAAAATAGGGACTAAACACGCATTCTGGCATGTGCACGAGGGACGATTGGTGTAATTTACCTTTTTTTTTTTTTTTTGTGTGTGTGTCCAGCAATTATGCAATTATGTTGATCTTATAGAAAAATCAGATCCGGTATGAACTGAAATGGGTCTGGAGCAGACCACCCATTTTTTAAACCGGGTCCAGATGCACCTCGCTACGATCATAACCGTTTATCAAATCCCTACTTTTCTAACCAAGTTTTGCATTCTTCATTTCTCCTACTCCTACACCCAACCGTTTTTCCCAAACATTTGTCTCGTTTACGTCCACAACTTCGTCTTCTTCATCCGACTAAACCCTTTCTGCAACTTCCTCTCTCCATCTCCAATGGCTTCATCCATATGCTCTTCGTTTCGAGCAATTATCCCTCAGTGGACTCACACCAACAAAAATTTCAGATACTGTCTACTCCTACTCTGCAAAAGGAAGCATTCTTTCAATTTCACGCCATTAACTATTTCTTCTGCTTTCAACAATGATTCCATTCCTCCAACACCAAACCCTAAACGATCCCAGGTAACTAAAATCATCACCTGTATCTCTCTCTGTTATTATACACATCATCTTCGTTTCATTGATTGCAGATGAGTTACGATCCTTCAGAAGATCTCTTCGGAATTTACGCGGATCTGCAGCCGAGGTATTGCTTCTGACTTTCGATTCTAGTGTGTTTTAGGGATTTATCTACTTGGATTAGATGAGTTTATCCAATAGCCCTAATATGTTTATAACTGACGTCAATTTCGATTTCAAATTTTGGAACATCCAAAACATGATTAACAAAATTCCCCTGTCATTACTCAAAGTGTGTGACTTTGATTCCAGGAAAGGTCTTTCAAGTGATTCAAGTCCAAGGTCTTGGTTTGGTCCAAATGGTCAGTATATTAGAGAGTTGCCTTGCCCAAGTTGCAGGGGAAGGGGCTACACTCCCTGCACAATATGTGGCATTGAAAGATCAAGATTAGATTGTTCACAGTGTAATGGAAAGGTGTGCTTTCATTCTGTATGTTGAATTATGTGTCTTTTACTTACACAAACCTACCTCCTTTGTACTCGATTATGTCAGGGTATGGTTACATGTCATCAATGCTCGGGCGAATGCGTAATTTGGGAAGAGTCCATTGATGAACGACCATGGGAGAAAGCTCGTTCAATGTATCATCTCTTATCTTTTTGTGACTTCAATATTAGTTTTCTTTACATATTTCTTCTAAATATATGCTTTTTCATACAAATTACCATCATAGTAATTGACTTCATAAAAAACATCATACTTGGTTTTTCTCAAGAACTAATAACCTTTCTTCTGAAAATGTCAAAGAACCTTATAGTTTGCAAATATAAAACATGCAAGAAACCACATCAAAATATAAATGTAATAAGAATCATCATACTTAAACTTTTATGGCCAGAACCTCTTGTTATAGTGTTCTTTTCATATAGCTTATGCATGAGCGACTAGTTGGATAATTCGTAAAAAATTAGGATGCGTTTGGTTGTGAAAGTTGTTTTCATTTTCCAAGAAAATGTTTTCAGATAATAGACTTGATTTTTATTTCTAGTTTTCAATGAAAATTTTAGTGTGAGTTTGGTTGTAGAAAATTTTCCAGTTTCTAGGAAAATTTTCCAAGAAAAGCATAAATTTTGAAAACGAGTTTGGTTCGTTCAGTTTTCCATAGGTTTCTAATAAAATGAAAATTTTCAGTTTTCCATAGGTTTCTAATAAAATGAAAATTTTCAGTTTTCCAAATTGTATGTAAATTAAAAAAGTGATTTTTACAATTTTCCAAATTTCTAAGATGGAAAATGAAAACTCCACCGGTTCCAACCAAACGTGTTTCCTAAAATTTTCATTGAAAACTGAAAATAAAAACTAATTCTATTTTCTGAAAACAGTTTTCCACAACCAAATGCACCCTTAGAAATCGTGTTTGGTTGGAAGGTGGAGTTTTCATTTTCCATCTTAAAATTTTGGAAAACTATAAAAATCACTTTTCTAATTTAAAAAGAAAGGACTTAAGGTACTATTTCTGTTCAACTTAATGGGCTTAATGGATTAAGCACTTAATCCAGACAGCTACACATGGTTGTTTTTTAACTTAATCTGACTTAATAGGTTAAGCCAAAAAAACTGGCTAAATGTATTTGCCCTTCTTTTTTCCTCCCAACTCATTAAAATCGATGAATATTGTGAAATTAGCTTTTTGGAATGTAAATGTAAGGGTAAAATGGTCATGTATACAACACTTTATCCAAACATACATCATGAAATAAAACTGTCTGTTGTGTATTTGTTGTTTTCAGTTCTCCACTGAGAGTAAAGGAAGATGATGAAGTTGACAATCTTGAAATAAAACTGTCTGTAAGGAAAAAGTCAAAGCGTGTGTACCATTCTCCATCTCCTGAAGTTGGTTTGAAGATCAGTAAAGCTTTGAAAGCAAGTTTGTTTCTTTCCTTTTTTTTTTTTAAAAAAAAAACATAATACAGGATTCAGTAGTAGTAGATGGATCATGAACTAAATCTTTTGTTTGTTAGTTGGGTGATTGCAGAGTCTGAATGCGAAAACTGGATTATTCACCAACCGAATGAAACTCATCCATGGTAATCCCAAGCTTCATGCTCAACGAGTGGCAGCCATCAAGGTTTTCTTTCTTTGTATGATGTGTCTGTGGGTCCCATTCCCATTCAGATGATTTTCAACACTTGTAAAAATATACTCTTACTGTTTTCAGAAATCTAAAGGGTCTGTTGATGCAAGAAAGCATGCTTCAGAATCCATGAAAGCCTTCTTTAGCGATCCAGAAAACCGACGCAAAAGAAGCATTTCCATGAAAGGTACATAGGAAAGGGCATTTACGTCTTTTTCTCTGTCTCGTCTTGTCCTGTAGCAGCTGAAAGTGAGTTTTGGTTTGGTGTTAGGGGTGGACTTTTACTGCAAAAACTGCGGTCGATTAGGGCACAGGAGACACTACTGTCCGGAACTTGATCAAACGGATCGACGGTTCAGATGCAGGTTGTGTGGGGAAAAGGGCCACAACAGAAGAAGCTGCAAGACAAATGAATCAGATAAAACAAGTTTTAATCCACCGTGTTGCAGTGTATGTGGAAAACCCGGGCATAATCGTAGGACTTGCCTTGGGCTTCAAGAAATCTCCCCCACATCCACCACAACCAAAACTCAGGGGATCAAGAAATCTCCTGTTGACTTGAAGAAAAGAGGTTACACTTGCAGGCTGTGCGGAGGAGAAGGTCACAACCTCAGGACATGCCCCTCAACAAATACTAATCATGTTAATTGTTAATGTTTCAGTAAAATAAAAAAGGTATATGATTTTATTATTATTAAAATGATGAAAAGTGGAAATAAGTTTTTGTTTTTGATTTTAGAAATATCATCCTAAGCCACATTCCGTAGTAACATACCCTCTGAATTAGTTATACAATACATTTCATATTTCATCTAATATAGAATGAGTAGTAATGTTTCTCATTATGAAAAAGCATTTTACATATACTTTTAACTTTTATCTACACCACCATTTAAATAAAGTAACCATTAAACTAAAGTTCAATTACTCCACAAAATTTACTTGCTTAGCATCATGAGCCGCTGGCTGGCCGGCCGCCCTCTCTTCCTCTTAGATGGCCTTCCCGGTGATCTCTTCACAACCAACTTCCCGCCCTCTTCTTTACCTTCCACCTCCACATGTGACGGCCGCCCTCTCTTCCTTTTCAATACTTCATCCGCCGGAGCTTTGCTAGCTGACTTCTTGGACTGCACCTTTTTCTCCACCACCACCTCCACACGAGGTGGTCGTCGTTTCAGCATCTTTGAAACTTCAGCCGCTGGAGCTTTGCCAACTGGCTTCTTAGATCGCCCTTTTCCCTCCACCACCAACTCCACCCGCGGCGGTCGGCCTCGTAATCTCTTTGAAATTTCAGCAGCTGGAGCTTTGTCAGCCGGCTTCTTAGACCGCCCCTTTTTCTCCACCACCACCTCCACACGTGGTGGCCGCCCTCTTAATCTCTTTGAAACTTCAACCGCTGGAGCTTTGTCAGCTGGCTTCTTAGACTGCCCCTTTTTGTCCACACGCGGTGGCCGCCCTCTCGGTCTCTTTGAAACTTCAGCTGCCGCCCGAACTTTTCCGGCTGGCTGCTTTTCATTCACCACCTCCCGTCCATCATCTTTACTTTCCACCACCACACGTGGCTGTGGAGGCTTCCCGCTTGACCTCTTCAAAACTTCGGCCACCGGAGCTTGAGCTTTGCCAGTTGACTGCTTGGGCTGCACCTCCACACGTGGCGGTGGCAGCTGCCCTCTGGACCTCTTCTTCAAAACTTCAACCGCGGGTGGTTGCTTGGACTGAACTCTTTTCTTGGTGACTCTTGCGAGACACAACTTGTCTTCGCTTTTGATAAACTTAAATACACATTTGTCACCTTCACATAACTCATTAACTCGCCGGAATTCACTCCACCCTGCCGACAAATAGTACCTTTTGCTATCCGATAGTAACCTTATTTTCCACTCTTGTCCATCAATATTCTTCATTATCACGCTTCTTTCTGCATCTATTCTGGCCAACCGAGCAAATTCCGATGGAAGCCGCTGATGAGTTTTTTACAAAAGTTAAAATTTTCATTAGAAACAAATAATCTCACAGATTAAGATGAATTTATATACTACTTAAGGTAAAACTTACCATAGACATTGTGTGACTTTTAGACATAATCGTCATAAAGTAAGGGTCGCCATTATCCCCATCAACATCAACATCACCACCACCATCACCATCGTCATCTTCGTCACCGGCATCTTCTTCATCGACACCACCATCATCAAAAATATCATCTTCTTCTTCCTCTTCTTCATCAGATTCTTCCTCTTCCTCATCCTCATCCTCATCCTCATCTTCTTCTTCTGCTTCTGCTGCTTCTTCTTCGTCGTCTTCGACACCATCTTCTACTTCAACTTCTTCTTCCTCTTTCTCTGCTTCTTGTTCTTCTACTTCATCATGGTCATCATTTTCAACCTGGATTTGTGAAGGGAAATCTCTTTCACACCCATTTGGACTGAAAATTGAAAATTTGAATGTGGATTCATCAACGAGCCAAAACACAAGAAAATCCCCAAATCCCAAGTCGCTATCTTCAACGACGTCGCTCCATCCATCGGTAAAGCAGTAAATTTCACCTTCTTTTTTTATCTTCAATCTCCATTTATACCCTCCATTTCTTGATCGGAGTATTGGGTTCTCAGGGATCTTGTTCTCCAAGTGCCTGCGGATAAAAGCAGATGGCAAATCCTGCAAAATTGCATGATTAGGAAAACGACAGGAAAAGAAAGAATAGAAATTGGATTGAAGTTGATGAGCACCAAGCGAGGGGCGGAACGGTCGAGCAAAATCTTGTAGAAGGATGGGAGCGGGCGAAGGGCCATGATTTTGCAGAGTGCAGAAGGTTGGAATTGGGAAAGAGGAATGTTAGTTGCCGCTCGTACTTGCCCTATACACACCTACCTGAAATAAACATCAATAAAAATCGGCGTTCAATTGATATATATATATATATATATATATATATATATATATATATATATATATATATATATATATATATATATACACTAGCAGTGCACCCGCGCAAAGCGGCGGGGCGTGTAAATTCTTTTAGTGATATGTTTCCTCTACAAAAATGTTATGTTACAAAAGAAAGTACACGTCGAAGACAAAATAATCAAACTATGGTGTTATTTGGGAAATGAAGTCATTTTTTGTTCCTGGACGGTGGACTTTATAGTAGAGGAGGGAACAAAGAGGTATATGCGATTGGAGGGATATTTGAATCAACATGCTAAATTTAAGGATATCTAAAAGGGTTCAAAATTTGAATGAATCCGAGATTTGAGGAAACCATATCAAATTGTTGAGAAATCTAAGGAGATTTGATAATAAATATTTGAATTCAAAATATGGTTAAAATTTAATATTATTTTATTAATGATTACTTGTACTATCAGCTTCATCATTTGGACGTCTTAAAAAAATATTATTATTATAATCAATCTATATTTAGAAATAGTTAGATTTCTTTTATAAGATACTAAAGATATATATATATATATATATATATATATATATATATATATATATATATATATATATATATATATACTAGCAGTGTACCCGCGCAAAGCGGCGGGCGTGTAAATTCTTTCGGTGATATGTTTCCTCTACAAAAATGTTATTTTACAAAAGAAAGTACATGTCGAAGACAAAATAATCAAACTATGGTGTTATTTGGGAGATGAAGTCATTTTTTGTTCATGGACGGTGGGCTTTATAGCAGAGGAGGGAACAAAGAGGTATATGCGATTGGAGGGATATTTGAATCAACATGCTAAATTTAAGGATATCTAAAAGGGTTCAAAATTTGAATGAATCCGGGATTTGATGGAACCATATCAAATTGTTGAGAAATATAAGGAGATTTGATGATAAATATTTGAATTCAAAATGTGGTTAAAATTTAATATTATTTTATTAATGGTTACTTGTACTATCAGCTTCATCATTTGGACGTCTTAAAAAAATAATATTATTATAATCAATCTATTTTTAGAAATAGTTAGATTTCTTTTATAAGATAGTAAAGATATATATATGTTCAGGTTAATTTGAAACCATTCTAATTTTGTGAGACCGTGAGACCAAATCTAAAAATAATTTTAAAATGCAAAATAAATGAAAAAATCCAAAAAAAAAAAAAATTTAAATATTATTTTCGGAACTTGAATTAACTAAAAAAAATATAAAAAAAAAATAAAAAAATCCGTTTTTTTTTTAAAAAAATACGTGAAATATTCTAAATAGAATATTACACTGACATATTCTAAAAAATAATTTTAAAATGCAAAATAAATGGAAAAATCTAAAAATTCTTTTTTTAAATATTATTTTCGGAACTTGAATTAACTAAAAAAAATATAAAAAAATTCTATTTTTTTTGAAAAATACGTGAAATATTTTAAATACAATATTACACTGTACATATATATATATATATATATGTATGTATTATTTAAATGAGATTTCTATTTATGTTTTTTAACTATCTATTTATTTTTTGGAAAATGGAAAATATATATATTAAATAAACCACAACAAGCTGATGCGACAAAGATTACACAACAATAGTTCAAAAAACAGAGAATTACAAACAATGAAATGCGCAAATATTCCACACTCTCCGGTCTATCTTTTTAACTGAAGTTCTGTGTTTGCTCTAGATAAAAGATAAAACTTTTATCCTTTCAAGAATCATTGTTGGTCTCATGAGGAAGTTCTCGAAAATCCATTTATTCCTTCCAACCTATATGCACTATAACGTTCCACATAATATCATATTCAACAAACTTTGTTTCTTCTTATCACCGGACCATCTTGATATGAAGAGAAGCATATCCATAACGGAGGAAAACTTCTCACTCATAATTTCACACCAGTTAAGTATCGATTCCATAATCTCCATTGCCATAGGGCATGAAATCATAATGTGATCACCCATGTCCGCATCCTTATTACAAGCTTTGCATATTGTGGTTGGGATGGTAACCCCTTAATGGCTAAGAGCCACTGCAATAGGGATTCGTCCAAACGAATGCTAGAATCTTGAACGGAGTCACCTTACCCCAATCAAATGGTTCATCATTCACTACATATCCTGCTAATTCAATTCGTTCTCTTAACATACACACCATAAAACGACATTCGGCTGTAAATTCTTATTCCCACCTATCATCATTCGAATTCCAAGAATGATTTCTTTAGGGTCAATGTTTATCTTTTCCAAATACGATCTAGATTTAGTAATATTCATCCACACCGCTTTAATTGATCTGTTAGTAAAAACCGACCAATGTCTTCCGTCTAACTTGTGGATACATCGTATGACCCTCGCCCATAAGGCTGAATCCTCTGTTTTCTATCTCCACATCCACTTGGCTAAGAGTGAAATATTGAGGGACTTAATGGAACCAAGCCCCATACCTCCCACTTTCCTTGGTGAAATAAGATTTTCCCAAGAAACCCAACATATACTTTTTTTTATCATACAGCCTTATCCAAATAAAATTCCTGCTAATTCTTTCTAAGGTGTCAATTACACCTTTTGGTACAACAAAGATAAACATATAGAACGTAGGAAGATTTCCAAGTACCGCCTTTGCAAGGGTTACTCTACCTCCAAAGCTTAAGGCTTTCGCTTTCCAAGTCGTAAGCTTTGCATGAAATTTATCAATAGTTGGTCTCTATGCATTCCTTAAATTCATATTTTCACCTACCGGAATTCCCAGATAGGTGAATAGGGTAGATGAAGGTTCACATCCAAGTGGGGATGCCCCGTTTAAAACTTCCATTTGGGAAGTCCCCACTCCATAAACCTTCGACTTCTTGAAATTCACCTTTAGCCCTGACAAAACATGGAGGCATCTTAGGATCCGAGCCAGATTTGCAATATTCTTTCATGACCATTCACCTATAAACAATGCATCATCAGCATAAAATAAATGGGATAAACAAAGATTAGATTGTGGGAATTTGATGCCATCGAATATTCCTTTTTCCACTGCTGTCTTCATCGCCTGATTTAGCCCTTCCATCGCGATTATGAAGAGAAATGGATAGAGTGTGTCTTCTTGCCTAACACCTTTTGACATAGAGAATTCATTCGTCCGACTGCCGTTAATGATCACCGAAGCTCTCCCAGATCCAAGACAACCACTTATCCATAATCTGCATTTCGACCCAAAACTTATTTGCTCCATGATCGAGCCCAGATATGCCCAATTTACCGAGTCAAATGCTTTATTAAAATCCACTTTAAATAAAAGCATCTTCTTGCCATTCACCTTCGCCCATGAACAGAGTTCATTAGTTATCATCGGACCATCCAAAATGTTTCTTCCTTCAATGTATGCAAACTGGACCTATTCAATGATACCACTAACAACTTTCTTCAATCTTATTGCTAGCAATTTTGCAATAATTTTGTAGATCGAGCCAATCAAGCTTATTGGTCTGAAATCATCAAAATGGAGTGGGTCTTTTGATTTTGGAGCAAGAGATATGAATGAAGCATTGCACCCTCTTGCCAACGTACCATTTCTTTCAAAATGCTTTACCATCCCCACAATATCATCTTCTGGCAGCTCCCAATACTTCTTTACGAGTTTAAATGTGAATCCGTCCAGCCCCGACAATTTTCACCCCCACATGACCACACCGCATACTTAGGGGGTGTTTAATGCTTGTCTCTCCAGGTCCAATCAGATGTTTTTTCTAGATTCGGTCTGGATCAACTTGTTTGATTAGGCTTCTTTGCACTTCTGATTCGGTCCTCAAAGAAAAAGTACCTGACTCGGTCATTTGTACCAATTTCTCGCATTTTCCCTTCTCCTTCTTCTTGCCCTTCGACATGAATTTTTTTCTCCTTCTTCTTCAATCCACATACAACTTCTCCTTCCACCACAAATGGTCCTCGTCCTCTTTAATCGATTAATGAAATCAATTTTAAAAGCGAGTCATAATATCGATTTTGAAATCGAGCATATTCCGGTAATATTTATGTTTGTAGAAGTCGATTATTCTGGTTTTGCCCTAAACATCGTCGCGACAGAAATGGAAGAAGAAAGTGATTCGCTAAATTTGTTTTTCAATTCGTTTTGATCGCTAATTTTTTTTCCGATCGCTTCTAATTCGATGTTCCAGATCAAATTTATATTCGAATTGGTAACTGGTAAGGTAAGATTTTCTTGATGTTTTACTTGATTGTGAGTATATTTGATAATATGGTTCTTCATTGTTGGTCTATTATCAATTGTTGATCTGTTTTCCATGTGAAAACTAAATCTATTAACAATGGAGTTGTGAATCAATTGGACGATCAAAACATGATTCTTTAACATGCTTGTTAGATGTTTGTTGAAATGTTTGAATAAAATTGTTCAAGATATAATGAAAGCTTACTGTCAAATTTCAGATTTATATTACTATTAGCTTCTACAACTGAGGCAGAATTTTAGCTCACTTGAACAACTAGTTTGCAGAAACTTGTATGCATTTTAAGGAAACCATAAGGGAATATCCATACATGAGGATCATATCTAGTTGGGGAATTAAATATATCAAGTTGCAGGATGTATAATTAAGGAGCCAAAGCCTAGCTTACAAGGGGTGGTGGTGGTGGTGGCTCAATGTGGTCAGCACGCTAATCAGCACCCGATTACTCATCATTTGTGACGATGTTAAGAATTTGCATAATTAGGTCCCCTATAAGTTACAAGTGAGATAGAGTGTTCATGTTTGTTTGTTTGTTTTAATAACTTATGTGTTTATTGGGTCATATTTTATGATTGGGTCAAAATAGTAGAATTCTAATGAAGTGATATATTACATTGTTTGAGATTATTGCAAAAATTTTGAAAACATTTTCTTATAATTACGTAAATGAAATTAAGGCATATGATAAAAAAAATTAAATTTGACAATTACAAAAGTAATCGAGAAAAAAATAGTCTAGTTTTGATATTAATATATATATATATATACACATATATATATATATATATATATACACACACACACACACATATATATATATATATATATATATATATATATATATATATATAAAAGAGGCAGCATAAGGGTAATATGATCATTTTTCATATCACAATCAGTCAGAGATATAATCAAATTACATGGTTTCAATAAGATGTAACTCAGTTAGAAGTTCTAACTCAGTCGGTAGCAACTCAGTCAACACTAACTCAGTCTGGAACTATCCTAAATTTCATTAGTTGTAAATTCGCCTTCCAAGAATCTTGCATCAAAATCAGAGAGCTTTTTGAAGCCTTGGTTGCAGAATTTTGGTATTCTTGGCCTCTCTTCTTTCAACTTATTTCCAAAAAACTTTGATGCCTCCAGTTTTATACTAATTGGCTCCGTGATCCAAAACCCATTGGATATAATCCCATGTATATGATTCTTCCGATTCCTGTTACTAACATAATTGTGGAAAAATCGTGTGTTCTCATCACCTTCAGCTTCCCATTTTATTTTTGCTCTTTGTTTTAGATTCATAGCAAGCAGTCCCGCGTGCTCGTCTATCTCGACACTCAATTCTGATCTTTCTTCCAATTCTATGGCAGTAAGTGGCCTATATTTTGCCATTAATTCAATTTCTGTCATTCTTGTTTTCCATATATCTATTTCTATGGCAGTAAGTGTCTATTTAATACTACTAAATTTAAACAAAATAATAGTAGATATACATATAAATGCCTTTTGTTTGATAACTGCTACTTCATCTGTCTAATATTAACTGTTGACTCTTTATCACATAACCATGTTCATTTTGTTATTTAATGACTAATATGGATTAATGTACATAAATGAGATTTTTTATTTGAAACCGCTATTTTATCTTTTTATTACGTCTAGTTTTTGAGTTTTAGTAAAAAAAAAGGGAAATAGAAGTGAGTAGAGAAACTAAAAAGGAACAAAAAAGTTGTATTATCTTTCCCAAGAGAAATGAAAGAAAATTAAAGATTTTTTATTTCTTTCTAAATCCATTGAAAGCAAATAGTAAATTACACAAATCGTCCATCGGTTAGGTACTAAAAAGCACGTTTAGTCTCTATTTTTAAAAATGAACTCGAATCGTCCCTGTGTTTCCATTTCCTTGCACGGCTAGTCCCTATCACCGTTAGCCGTTAATGGTTTCCATTTAAGTGCCCCAAAAGTACGTTTAGTCCCTCGTTTCTTTTAAACATATCATTTTAGGCCCTTGTTTCTTTTATAAAGACTATATTGCCATTTTTTTTTTAATTTTTTCACTCATTTACAACTTATCAGTTAAATCAGATTCATTATAAATTTTAAAAACTTATATCATTTTCATCTCTCTCTCTCTCTCTATCTATCTATCTCTCTCTCATTTTCTCTTTATTCCATGTTCTCTTTCTCAATTTGGGCAACTATCTCCTATCATCATCAACAACCATCTCCTTTCACCGTAGGCGTCTTCGCCAACCACCACCTGTCAACACCAAATTTGATACTATAACCAAAATGAAATCTAAAACTCAAACCCAAATTTGATACTAGAACCAGAATCTAGAGCCTATAATCAACACCATTATAATCTAAAACCTTTAATCATCACTGGTTTTCGAGATGAAGTCCCAAAACCTAAAACCAATCATGAAATCCCTACATCGATGCAAAATTCAGGAGGGACTGGGATGTAGAATCAAAACCCTAGATTTGTGTCCTACCTTCTTTCTCAGCTTTTGCAACCACCACTTATCACCACCGAAGAGAAAGAAGAGTTGTCGAAATTTAGATTTGCGAATGGAGTATAGATCTGAAATCTAGTTGTAAAAGGGTTGTTGATGGCATGCTCTAAATCACATATTGAAACATAGAAGACAAGAGAGGATGACAACGAAGGGAGTTGTTGTTGGTGTACCCTAAATTAGATTAATTATCAAATTTAAAAAATTATATCATTTTCATATATAATATATATATTATATATTATTATATATATATATATATATATATATATATATATATATATATA